CGCTGGCGGGCGCGAGCGCGCGGACGATGGCGTGCATTTACAAGTGCGACTTGCCGCAGGGGTGAGGAGGGGAGGAAAGCTGGTTAGAAATAGGAGGGTGGACAGCTCCTGCGCGCTCTATAATGCGGAAACGGAGAGAAATATTTGGGCAAAAGCAAAAAAATACCGGACTGCGCTCGAATCTGGAACGTAATTTACAAACTGCAGATATTCGAAAAATTTTCAAGGAATATCATTAATTTCCGAGATTTGATGTTCAAAATGTTCTACGGAAATTCATGTGCATCTCGAATGGATCGTGTTTCTCATTTCGCGTAAGATACAACGTAACATATTCGTCTAATTTAATTTCTGTACATCACATGCGTGTAATTAACAGATTGCGGAAGATAACTCTCTACTCGGTTGGAGAACGGGTTGAAGGGTATGTTGCCGACATGAGTCTGTGAGAAACACTCGCATAAAGAAGCAGCTAGTGTGAGAGACGGCCGAAAAAGGTTGTATGACAAGGTAGGAAGAATACTCTGAAAAATTCGATGCTGATACGCGCATTCGATACTCGAGAGGTAGCATACGTGGCACATGTACGACATGAAGGACATGGATTATACGAGGGACGTATAGGATACGCCTCAACAATCTCACATGTCCCATGGGCATGTTCGAAAATCTCATGAACGTTTTTCATATAGATGACAAATAAACGTACGAATATTTCAGAGCTCTACAAGCTCCATAAGGATCACAGTCCTTTCACGTTATAAACTCCGTATAAAATATCCGTATATATCTATGATATACTTATCTATTGCGAAATAAATTGGTGCAGTAAAAAGTAAGATATGTAAGAGATGTATAAATACATATAAAATAAAATTATGCACATGTGCCCAATACACGCTCTTGCACTTTGATTCCTAAATTATTTCCCGAAACTTCCGCATAAATTATATTCCAAAGACGCTTCATACATTTTCACGTCTGCTTATGTATCTGTTTATCCAATTACAAAGGGGAATGTTAAATTAGGGCTTTTTTGGCTAAAGGCCCGTCTACAATACACGGAGTAAGAAGTAAGAGTAAGAAATTGACCAATCACAGTCGAATGTGAGAAGAATAATCGACTGTGATTGGTCAATTTCTTACTCTTACTTCTTACTCCGTGTATTGCAGACGGGCCTTGAAATAAAAAAATTCTTGGGTATACAAATGATGTATCATATTAGGGCTATTCTCTTAAGCGTAGTCGAGTGGTGTATCATTTATCTTGGAGAAACATCAGGGGAACGTGGAAGAAATCATTATAATATATAATATATATAAATTAAAGCAATAAATCTAAAAGTTAAGTAAAATGTCAAGATGCTTTGAAATTAAAAAACAGCAATGTTAATAAAAAATTAAATAAATAGATACAACTAGAGAAACGTATTCATTGTATTCAAAGTTAGAATTCGAAATCAATCAATTAATCATTTATCGGACTCTTCAAACACTCTTCTCCAAATTATACGTGTAAATAATAATGTAGTGTTTGTTGCTTAATTCCCAGAATGTCTTGATGTGTCACTAATAACTTTTTATGAATAAATGTAACAGTATTAGATTTATTGACTTTTATATTATGATAAAATAATAAAGAAACCGTGATTTCTCCCATGTTCTCGATGTTTCCTCCAGATAAGTAATATATCACTTGATTTCGTTTTAATATGATAGTCCTTTAATATAATATATAACTCGTATAGCTTAGAATTTTTTCATTTTAGCCGAAAAATAGCTCTAGCTTAATATCCTCTTTTGATAACACGATGCAATGTCGAGAATATCAACATATTAAAGAAAAAGTGAATAGATTATTCGAATAATTCGTTTGACATACATATGCTATTTGTATAATGGCAAAGAAATTATTTAAATGATCTATTCCTATTTCTCCTTTAGAGATCAAGTAGCTCGACCAGATTCGCGTTTCTATGTTGAACGTGGACAATACTAAATAATTACATGGAGAGAATGTATTTGCTGAAATATTAAAAATTTACAGGTACAGATTTAAAAACAATTATATTATATTATTTTGCTAGAATTTGGTCAGATCATTAAAATAATTAGAAAACTCAAGCATTATAAACAATGTTGCAAAGAATTTTGATATTGTAGAAATCAGCTTAAGTATCCTAATTATTTTGATAATCCAACAAAATTATTTTCAGTATCTAACTAAAAATTTTAGATATTTCAGCAAAACCATATTTTTTTGGTATAGGATAAATTTTTAAAAATAAAACTTAATTTCGTAAAGAATTAAGTTTTATTGTTAAGTATATACACTAATTAATATTGTTATATATTTACATAGTGTTATTACGACAAAGACATGCGATCTGCTTTACTTAGCCGATTATGATGCTTTATGGTAGCCGCACGTGTGCTGCTGCACTTAGCGTTAAGTCCCGGATTTCAATCCCATCGTCGCTGTTTGTTTATTTCACGCATATGGTTTATTCAGGAGCCTTTGTAAGATGCTCTATGCCGTGTGTCATAACCAAACGATCGGCGGGATATATCCTTACGGCCGGTTACAGAAAGGTTTCCGCAGTTTCCACGCGTCCTAATGCGAATGCGGTGTTTCTAATTTAATATCTTAAGGACCGGCATTTACCCACGTCAGCTATGCCGGATTAGGTTGTCAGACGCAAGAGAAATACACGCGATTCCCATAATTTACGTCCACGTGAGTGACTTTTCACTAAGCAAACCGCTCTTTTCCTCTCCGATACAACGAGTTTATAAATCATTCCACGAGATACCTCTCCTTTGATACGACGTAACGTAGATCCCCAAAGTCCATAATTTTCCTAATAATTTTACGTTCGACAGCTGATGCTGCATTTTGAATTCGCTTTATTGAATTAAAAGTATTTGCGAATGGAAAATTATGTAAACAAAATTTCGATTAATTATATTATAAAATTATTTCGATATATTGTTCATGTAGGTACAATAATGCAACATTTTTATCCCTCCCGCAAATGAGGGAAGATAATTTCGTTAAAAAAGCCGATAGAATATTATCCGAAAAATTTACGTTTCTACAATATTTTCCATATTGCACTTTCAATATCTATCGCAGGCTTGCGATGCTCTTTATATTTTTACGCAAGTCATAAATATGTCTTATAGAATATGCTCGATGTCTATTTCGCACCGCTAAACGCTAAGAGTGATACACTTTCTTCCAAGTGTTGAATAAATGATCATGTCAAAGCGATCTCCTATATCGCCGGCGTTATGCGCCATTGCATATTAATGCGAAGCCCTTTTTCCATCGTTGTGTTTCTTTATTGCTTTACAATATATGTCGATATATATCGATATGATAAAAAAAGGCTTTCATCGCCGTAATCCTATTGCTTTAGAGATTTCCTATGAATAAGCAATCTTCTTCTTTTTATAAAAATGTCATTATACTCAAAATACTCTTCTACTTTGTACGGTATAAATATCACGAAATGCACGATACAAGTATAGAACATGGTATAATTATAGAATACGTAACATCTCTTATAACGTTGGAGGTTACATAAAACATTTTACAACAAGGCTTGATTTGCTAGAAATATGACACGTCCAACCTTCTTTTGTCCAACCTGTCTCTTTAAACGACTCTCTAAATAATATGGCAAAAGAATAGAAGAGTTTACTCACCGAGAATCTGGCTGAGGACGGTGCGACCATCTTCACCGAGGCACGCACTACGTGCGTCAAACGGATTTGTGAATTGCACGAATGCATAACCCTTGTGCATAGAGATACCTATCAAAAAGATGTAAAAAGTCAATTATATATTTGCAGACTTTATAAAATAAATAAATTCACATGAAAAATATCAATTTTGCTACCATTTTACGCTAAATATATTATTTTTAACATACAAGTTCTTTGTTATTTTTATTATTTTATTTGAAGTAAACCTTGTTTTATTTATTTATGAAATATTTTAAAATTTAATATACGAACTTAATATAAATTCTCAAAATTTACATAAAATAAACATAATGATTGGAAAAGACAATATAGCGAATCAGTGCGTTTAATAGTACGTTAAAAACTTTTTTTAAACAAATAATAATGTATTATTCTTTGAATAATTATTTAATTAGTTATATATATAAGTAATAATTTAACAAATGGTTCGTAACAGTAACCAATATTTGTAAGTTCTAAACGAGCTCAGAAAAGCATGAAAAGTCTTATTAATACGTTCGTATAAAAACGTAACTTTTTTTATTTAAACATTCATTTTCTGATATTAAAATAATTACAAAAATATCTTTACAAAATATGGTTTATAGATTTTTTTTATAATGGAGTAAATTTATATATGAAAAACACCGGCATAAAGCTTTCAGTAATGGAAGCGATCGAGTGAATCCTTTTAAATAAACTATTCTATGAATGTTTGACATACGAGAGAACTGCAAAAAATCAATGATTGAAATTTATAAAAAAAATTAAACATGAAAGAAAACCGCGTGATTTCTAGGAATATTCGCAAACATTGGAAAAATATGTAATATATTGGCGGATCGTATCGCGCGTAATTGCATAGCTACGAGCTTTCTCAAGTAACTCTCTTTTTTTCCTTTTCTCCAGAGAACTATCCGCACAAATACATAGAGCAAAATTTTAATTGGATAAACTTCTACCGTGAGAGCAAAAATCTCCAAATTAAATAACGACATTTCCGAACGATTAAATACAACTCCGGGGAATATTAAACATTTTTGCAAACCAAATTAATAAAAACAAGAGCGCGTTGTTGCCGGTCGATTTTGCCCGAGCGGCAAGTCGCACGCGGACGCGACCTGTAATCTGTGTACCCGTAATAACTTTTGCGTGGTTAGCAGCTGACCATGCATGGAATTCATTATGCCGAAACAAATATGTAAATCTAACCTACACGCACACTCGCGCTCACACAGATGTGTTCGCACGCATGTACGCGTTAGAATGCAAATACTGTCCGCGTGAATCTGTCCTCCCTCTCGCTCCATGCGCCGCTTCATCGCGAAGCTCAGCGCAAGAGATGTTCATAGCTTTCATCGTCGCTATTGTTATCAGTTCATTCTTCAGTATACACCAGTTGTTGAATAGAAGAATTTTTAAAAGATCGAACCTTGCTTTATAACATCACATTCAACGTAAAACACTAATAAAAATAAACTGTGTTAGCATCTCATATTTAAGCAGTGCTCCATGTTTCTCTTATTTTTCTTTTTTTTATACAGTATTCTGATAACGGGGATAAAGTGTAACAAAATCAGACGTTACATTTATCAACTATTTTGAGATTTAGATCAATCACAGATTGTTTATGGAAAACTTATTAGTGTTTCGAATTTTTCAAAAAAGAATTTTAAAGATAAAAGTGTCTGTAGTTAAATATGGTGTATGGCATATAATGTTTGCCATGTTTGTATCATAAAATTTTCTATATTTTATAAAAGTTTAGTTATCTGACTACCTCGTTAACCCAATTAAATCTCAATCGTGTTGTCTCCAAATAATATAATTATTCTATATAATTTAATTGAAATGGTTCTAATTTCAACAGTAGCTGTCAATATTCGGTTTCTTGGATATTCATAAAATAATTAAATTCCCTATTATTTTAAGTATGACCCAAAGCATTCAAACGCTGTTCAAATGTTATTTGCGTAAATTTAGCTTCACTAATCGATTACCTTGTTAATACATTTTAAACATACCAATCTCTTATTTATGTACGAAAAACTGCAAACTATAGAATCTAAAGTATAAAAGAGCATACACATTTTCTGCATGTTTGCAATGTTATAAAAAATTAAATAAAATATAATCAGTTAAATAAAATATAATTGTACGATTTAAAAACGTATGTATATTTAAATTTCTGATTTTGTTTTTTAATTTATTAATCATATTCTCGAACTATCATTAAATTGTTAATTAAAGATATTAAAAATTCTTGTTTGTAAAAAATTCAATTGGACACAGTAACATTATGTGATATAATTTTTTAAATTCTTTGTTATCGATTATAGGATATCGATAGTTTTATTTAAAATTTGAAAAAATCCAGTATACATGCGCGTTATCCTAAAAGAAATATTTGAAATGATTTAATAAATGTTTTATCATACAGAAACATATATTTTCACATTATTATTGTCGCTAAGATCGCAACTTCATTTAATTGTTTCTTTCCGAGTTTTACTTTTTAAGAGATTGATTGCGTACCTTGAAATGAAATGAAAATTACAAAAGTGACCAAATTCACTAGAATGTTTATAATTTCATTGGTCAACGCCTAGTGAATTTACAAACACTTTTGTAATTTTCAAGATACACAATTGACGTCCTGATTTGTCTATACAAATATTTCGCGTTTTCCAAGCAAGAGGGTAAATTTATCATGTATTACATAGCGATCCCGTCGATCTCCCGAAACATTTAGCGCTTTGGAGCCCGACTCTCCGATAAAGCACTATATCATCCCCATATCTCAAAGCTTAATCCCACCCCTCACATTTTCACGGCTGCATATCGGTCGAAAGGAGATCGTCGTGTCGATCGTATCGATCTTCGATCCCCGTAACGTAACTCGTCATCGCCGTAACGTTTATTCCGGAATTTAAATCGCTGTCTGCGCGCATGTCATACGTAAGGGGACGGCGGCGGTGTTATGTGTGCATTTGTGCACGCGAGACGGGTGCGGGAGTTCGATATCGGCGCTCAAGAGTTCCACGACGAAATTTATTCTAGTCATAAAAACCGCGATAGCGAAATGCGCGATCGTAAGTGCGAGTATATATGTGCGAGGTGCGGACCGGTTGATACGACGCCCTCCGCCTGTCATTATTTTATTTTTCTGACTTTTAAATATTATTTTCAGACGTGGTAAAACCTGTGCGTAGAAGAACAGCTCACCGATACCGATATATCACTTTGTTTGTAGACAATATTTCTTAAACAAAAGCGCTGCAAATAAATCTTTAGAAACATAAATACAAACTGAAAAGTGTCTTAGTCAGATAATGTAGCAATTTTTATAATTTTTGCAATTTTACAATAATTAACTTTTTCATAAGAGAAACAAAAATGAGCGTCTGACAAATGGACCTCAAAATTGACGCAGTAAATAGTAATGTCATATATTCCTACTCTTTTTCTTTCACAAGAATTATCTGCAAAATATCTACAAGTAGATGTAAATAAAATTTTCTAGGATCTTTTTACATCTATATTCTTAGTTTTTTTCATTCATTTATATGCATACTTTAGGCTGTTCTGTAAAATGCAAACATGTAACGCGACAGTTTCTTGCTTTGAGGATTTTCTCATAAATAAATATATGATTGCCTTCAGCTACAACAGAACTATTTGACACTATAACACAAAACTATTAATTTAGCATATGGTCTGTTTTACAGAAGTATTTTATACACCTCTATTTTATATTTAAAACCATACATTATAAAGAAAATGAAAAAAAAATATATAAATAAAAATTAAATTAGGAAACTACAAATATGTAAAACAGTGTAACGTTATATAAATAATATAGCTACTATTATTTAAACTACACAATTTACAAAAGAAAATCTATAAACTCTACAAATGCAAAAATAAGGATTTTATTTTTACATTTGTAGAAACAAACCATAAATATGAAGTATGAGTTTTACTTCTTTAATTATTTCTCAGTCTAGCATGCGTAAAGACAATTGAGTTCGAATTCTTTCAATATTTGCGCAAATGTTTTATGTTAATTTCTTACGATGACCGACGTATTCTAGGTCTTATTATCTGATGCAAATCAGAATTGTCTCAATATATAAAGAAATAGTTTGATATATATAAATAAAAAACATTTACTTGATTTCGATATCGAAATTGCATCCAGACAAGAGCACGCATCAGAAAATCGTTACGCGACCATTTGAAGTATCGATCGTTTTTGACGTTTGTAGGCGTTATAATGGTAATGTAATCAGTCACGTGATTTTGCAGAGATGCTTGGAGGATTTCGTTCGGATCAATTCGGAAACAAGATCAATTCAAAATTGGTAATTAGATTTTAATACTATTACAGGATCAGATAAGAATAAAAACAGAATCATTATAAGATATCGGTGTCAAACTCCAAAAAAAGTTTCAAGCTAAAGTTTCAGTAATATCCATCTTGGGGGGATTTATCTTTAATTCTACCGGATATAGATGGCATTAAAAATTAAATTAAAACAGATTGAAACTTTTGTGTATTTCCTTTGATTCACATTATGTATATTATTTTCAAAATTTAAATAAAATTATTAAAAAAGAAATGGAAAAAATTACATATAAAAAATTTAATAGCAACAATTTTAATCTCTCAAATTTAAATATATTTAGAAAAATATGAAATAGTAAAAACTTATGAAAGAATAACATCTTATAATATGTTTTTCTAGGAAAAACTGCATATTAAACAACGAATCTTTAACATTTTTGTTAAAACAAAATATAAGATTTGTTTACGGAAACTACTCTTAAGGGAATCCTAAAGACAATTAGTCATATTGTAAATAGCACTTACAGACGATATACGTGTCATCACTTACGTTGACACATCACTACATACTACTACATTAATATTTCACGCACATATACGCGTAAATTTTTATACAACAATAATGGTTTAATTAGACGTTTAAGTCCAATTTTAAGAAATCTATGTTGTTTCTTCGTGCAAACTACTAGTCTGTGGACTACTATTTCGTAAGTACAGATTGCACAGCTTTTATGTGAAGGAAATGTTTGTTACGACGTGACAGCTCTATAGAGCGTCATATTGGATCAAGAAATAGTAAAGAAGATTGTCAATTTCGAAATTTGTTGTCGTTCTCAGCATAGAACTCCACCTCACGGACACGTATTAATGCGTATACTTTAATTCTGGAAAAGGATTTTCTAATCAATGAAAGAAGAGAAAAATAATTCATGCGCGTTTCCGGCGTTTCTGAGGATTACATACGTAGTATATAAATTCACACGAGAATCATATAAGCATTAAGATTCAGCTAGACCGTTTAAGGTTTTGATTTCTATAGAAAAGTAATTGTTATACAAAAATTATATTTAGTAGGTAATACAGACTACTTTAGGATCCCCTTAATAACTATTACAGTTTAAACTTTTTAGTAAACTTTAAATTTTAATAAAAAAGTTGTACGTGGTTTAATTAATCGCCTTTAGTTAGGTACAAATAAAAGACCGAGCAAATTTAATTGCGAGAAAGGTAAAATATTGAAATGGAAAAATGGAAATCAAAGTTTGATTTGATAAAAATATCTCCGCACAAAAATAGACAAGTCCGCTCTTTGTAACAATTATTTGTATTTTCCGTAACTATGTTTTTTGTAAAAGTCGTCATTCACTAAAGTGACAACCAAGTGCCTCGATAACAGCAGTACTATGTTGAGGGCCTGTTGCAGTGAATTTTTCCAATGTTTTGGCATTTATATAGAACAAATATCGACTTTATATTGGAAAACTTGTCGGCAGAGAGACTGTCTAGTGTTGTTATCTGGGCATTCGACAGTACAGATTTAAATCATTCTAGTGACGATTTCTTCCAATACAGCTGTGTATAGGATGTTCAAAAAATATTCCCTTCGTTTAAGTTCTTTGAATAACTAAAAATTGAATTTTTCATAACCAAAAAAATTGATTGCGCTTTTTACAGTTTTTCCTTTTTGATATTAAATATATTTTTTTTAGTGCAGTCCACTTGCCGCTACAAATGCGTCTAAGCATTTTATTGACCAGTCAATATTTTTGACCAAAAAATATTTCAAAAACATTTGTAGCCTCAAATGGACCGTAACCTTTGTGACATTAAATTATATAAATATTTATCTTATTAAATGTATTTTTTGTGACATTAAATAACATATGTACAAAGTTTATTAGATTAAACAATTTATATATTTAAAAAAGTTACTTAATTAAAAAAAATTAACAATGTATAATTATTAATTAAAGAAATTTGTCCAGCTCTTTTATATGGCGAAATATTTAAATTTAATCACTTACAGAATTACTAATGTTTAAATGTTGGTGACAAATTCATTCTTTCAAATTGATCCATTAGTACTTACAGCTTTTATTATATCGATCCATTAATACTTACAGCTTTTATTATAGTTATTATTTATTTACAATACGATAATTATTATTTGTTTACAATACAATTATTTACAGTTTTTAAGATGTTTATTAGCAGCAATATTATTAAATGCTTGTGAATTTAATTTGTAATGTTACTAAATAGTTCTATGATGCGTTTCTCAAGATCAACGATGATTTCGGCGCGCAGTTTGCAAAATTTTATATGTATATATAAAATTCACATATTAAAATATTTCTTAAACAAAAGTAAGAGCGCAAGATAGAATTGTTGCTATGTGGAAAGGAAGGTTTTTCTAAAATTACCAAAAATTTTGTTAGATACAAATTTGAAAATAGCTTTATTTTAGACAATCAACATAATTATATATAGGAAATTCAAACATGATGTACCGCAAAAAGTTTTAATATTTTAGCAGCTAGCTTGAATATCCTACATAATTATTTTTATGGTCCAACCAAATTATTTTCAATTCTGTATCTAGCTAAATTTTTAAATACTTCAGCAAAATCATATACGACTTTTACGCGCATTTAATCTGTCTTCGTTTTGTTGTGTAAGAAAGACATAAAGTTTACACAGAAAAATTACTAAAATGAGAGCGATCTTTGTCGAGGATTTCGTTTTTAAACCGATTTTCAAACAGAAACAATTCTCCAGAAAGCCGGAGACTGTATACATTTTCGCGTTAAACGTTGTTTGTAAAAGAGATATTCGATTCGTAGAATTTGTAATTTATCTGCTATCGCGCATTGCACGCGGCGTCGCCTCCGTACAGGACGCCGCTTATCCCTCGTATCGGCGTCCCTCTAATCCAGCGAGCGCCTTAATTCCTGCAAGGACGAAGTTGCCCTTATTGTCTTCGTCCTTTATTGAGAAAGTAAGCTGTTTATCGGCAGCTAGCAGCGTTCCTTGTAATTTCGACATCCGACATTTGAAATTGCGATTTTGCTGGACAGACCGGGGCGGGATAACTTCCCAGTGGATTCCGGCGATGCACTTGGCGAACACCAATATCACTTGCGTCGACACGAAACTAATTTTACAGCATTCTTTATACTTATATAAATCTTATCCCGTTGGTTTATTATATTATTTATTGCACTATATAACCCTTTTTGTATGTTGAACTTAATATGTAAGTATAAACTGTAAGTAGAGACAGAGTAAGTTATAACAAATAAAAATTGTATTCTTTAACTAATTTCTCGAATGAACGTTGCTTTAATAAAATCTTTATTTGAATTATAACGTTGAATGTTTTGAAAAAATCAACTAGATTTTATAAGTCTGTTATTAACATCAAAGTTGAGAAATTTTTTGTGCTGAATTATACACGGAAAAAAGTTTTGTCAAAGTATCTAAAAATTTATCTAGAGATACAGATTTAAAAATAATTTTGTTTGAACAATAAAAATAATTACGTAGGATGCTTAAACTTGTTGCTAGAATATTTTAAATGCATATAATATTTTTGTAGCATTACTTATCATACTTGAGATTCCTACGTCATTATTTTGACGATCCAAAATTATTTTCAGATCTGTATCTATAAGCTAAAGTTCTAGATTTTTGTCGAAAAAGGATTTACTTCGACAAAATCCTTTTTCGACAAAAACTATCTCTTTCTGTGTAATAAATAGTTTACAATATAGATTCAATAAAAAGAGCGAGAGATTTGATATTATCTCGATCGTCGATCTATCATGGCCGACCTCACATGGTCATTCTCGATTTATCATCGTTCGTCTATCTATCACTCCAGATCGCAATCGTAATTTCGTTCCCAAGAAGGGGCAAGACCCTGCGGAAAAATGATTTTCCGGGATAACAAATCCTGCGATTGCGAAGTAAACGAGGTTACGGCTTACAAAGGAAGAGAAGGCAGCGGCAGTCATCGTGCCGCTCCTCCTGAAACTAGAGACCGACGGATATCCAATTCGAGCTATCGAAGGTCAAGTCGCCGTGGCACAAATTGCGTTACTGAGATCCTATTTTCCCGGAGCCCCGCTGCCCCTTCCGCTATTCTTCTCGATGCAATTTTTCCGCGCCGGATAATAAGTTATTCGATCGCGAATTATCGAATGTTATCAGGCCGTCGATTTCTCACGCGATTCGATTTATCGAGAATGCCTCAGGAAGGATCGAGAACATTCGGAAATAATCAAATGATTCTTTCTTTTCGCACGATAATCGATTTTTATCTTTCTTTCGTCGCTATCTTACTTTTATTAATATCGTGGTCTTTTTTAAATTCAGGAAATAAAGTACATAGCTCGCAGAGGATTAACGTTCGCGCTCGTGTGCAAAAGGATTGCGAAGAAATTATTCCGATGGAATCGCCAGGCTGCTAAATTTCCGCGGAGTATAATTGAAACGAATTAAGATGCGGGGAAGATAAATGAAATCAGGTAACCCACCGATCTAGATATGGATTTGCTCTTTATAAAGAGACACATTTGATCCTAAATGCAGAAAAAATATAGATTTTAATAGTTTAAATAAAATTCCTTTACATATATCCATAATATCACTTTCAAAAGCATGGAATTTTTTTTACCTATTTTTAAATTACTCGTTTTTAAACAAGATATTTTTAAGCTTTTCATTCTCCACGATCTATTATTAAGCATATTTTTCAACAGATATTTTTGACAGGTATTTTTTAACATTTCACTTGTTAGCTAGGTTTTTATATAGTCTGCTTTTAATTGTTCTATTTTTCAGCATATTCAGTTTGAAACATATATTTTATAAAAATTTATACGCGGAACTTTTGGTAGTTAATCTTTAATGACTTTATCTCACAATCAGTGACTTTATTTTTATCAGAAATAATTTTTACTATTAAACTTACCAGCCAGGCGGCCATAGCGTTGGAACATTCGTTCCACGTCAGTCTTGCTACATTGAAATGTATTCAGGTTCCCGACGAAAACGCGTGAATTCACCGCCTGTGGGTCCTGCGAATTGGTCTGGTTGCCCACTTTGCTCATCTTCATCGCCTGAAAACATTAGAAAAAAAGGAGAATTCAAAATTTAGTTCTCTTTCTATTTAAAATAGTAACGAAATGAAAAACACAAAAAAAGTGTCAACATTTTCACAAAGTCCACATAAAATGACTATAAAAATCATTCTAGCAAAAAAATTTTTAATTTATAATAAATATATATCTAAAGAATATTTATTCAAGACAGAAATACCTTTTATAGTATCTTCCAATTAAAAAGAAAAATATTGAAGATAAAAGTTAATCTCATACGGATATCTAAAATAGAATCTCAAACAAATTAAGATGCGATATCAATCTTCGTTATTCAGAAGCACTTAAATTTATTTAATTAATTTAACGCAGATGTATATTCATTTTCACATTGTCACGTTATTTTTTAGAAAGAAACTGAAGAAATGAGAAAAAGGGAGAATAATGGATTAAGTCAATTAATCGGCATCGATTAATCCCGCAAAAATAGTCGGTTGCCACTAACGATCTCGTTAGTTTTACGCGTTATTTCGCAAAAGTAGAAAACGAACTGTTGCTCAATGGGATTGCGAGGCGTTAATTAATCCACGACGCGCCAATTAGCGTTCGCGAATGTCTCTTTGACGCTAGAAAGCTACACATCCGCATGTATTGTAATCATCGTTGTTATTACTATTTATTATCATTTGTTTTATTTTGCATTATATCTTTTACTTAGGTATATATATATCAATTGTTGAACGACGGTTTTAGATCTACATGTATTGAATTAGTCTTAAATGACTAAAATGCATCGTATAATCTCTCGCAACATCTAATATATAGCTATATATCAATATATTGAATTTAACCTATTAATGCATTTAACGATGCACGTACACGCCATATATATGTATATCATCTTATCGCAATGCTTAAGACGGATATAATCATATCGAATTCAATTTAAACTGAGTATACGATTAAGGTCACAGCAAAGCTATTGTGCATAATCCAGTGTACCACTTAAGGGTTTAAACAACATTGAATTGACATTTATCGGTAATAATAATTGACGGAATAATTGTCATGGATCATGCGGTATGGAGCGCGAATTTTTCAACTAGGTCCTCAATAAGTATTTCACGTTATTTTTACAACACATCGCGCATAACTTCGCTGTCGCTCGTCGCACGAATCCAATTTGTAACTTTGATTGCTTGCGACGGAAAAGTTTATCGGGAGATCATCAAAAAGCTCGCATCACCGATAAACGAGAAACGATTATCGATTTCACAGGTGTATCAGGACGGCGATTGACACCGGCACGACGCCAATATATACATGTATTTATTAAAGAGTTGTTCTCCATAAATATCGACAGTTATACGGTGGGATAGCCCAGAGGTAGGGGCCGATATTGGCTTGCACGTCAAAATTAGTAATCGACGCGTCGACGAATTTAATCGACGAAGAATTGTCGTTTCGCTTCCGATTTTACGACGCGGAAGTGAACCCGGTAATGTTAGCCTCTATTAAAGTAATAGCGGACGTTTCTAAAATATCTGACTAAACCTAACCATCATAAAATTTAATCAGCTGATTACTTCGATGTCATAAACATAAATCATTAAAAGCTTTCTGATTAGATATTAAAAGTCGCGCGTTAAATAAATTGATAATTTCGAAATTTAATTATTGTTAAATAAAGTAGCTATTTGTGATTATTGAAGAATGAAAAATGTCGCAAAATAACGTTACGTTTAGTTGTTTCATTATTGGAGAAATTAAGATTATTTAAATTTGTAGCGCACGATAATCCCAATCACCTCGGCACTTGGCAATGATTCTCGTGGCGAATTTCTAATTACGTTCTACTTGGACTGGACTAGAATTCAGCTACCACGTCGCTCGTTATTTACGGCGCGAGCCAACCCAAAGGTATGCCCACTATTTGAAACGTTAATTGTTCTTACGTATTTCTTACACAAATAATCATGAAAACATATTTTCTCAAAGTAGAGCCATATTGAATTGTGATTTGGAAACTGTAGAAATTTATTCTTTCTCCTTTTGAAATAATTATTTTAAGAATAGAATTTCATTTTATCCAGATATTTATTGTAATACATATTTTATTAAATTAAATGTAGAAAACAGTTTGTAAATGTTTATTAATCAATATTTATTTTTATTTTGTTTTGATTGTAACTGGCAATACTGTATAACTTTTTCACGCTCTCTCCGCAACTCATAATAAAATGGAATTGATAGAAATAATTTGTTTTATTTGTTTGCAGAATTTTTCTCCCATTTATCCAAAAATACAAATATATGATATACAATGTTCTTAAAAAAAAACTCTTCAACTTTCTATAACTATTATTTTTTAATAATTTATATATTATCGGATAACTTTTTAATTACAATTTATTATTATATAATATATATATAAATTTATTAATACTTTTTATTAATTTATTAATCGATTTTGTGCAGGTATCTATCCATAGAAGACTTCAAATTTATATTACGCACAATAATGGAATCGTTATTATTAGTCAAAGTATCTGTTTTTCTTAATTTCGTTATAAATATCTATTTTATATATGACTTTATTGTATTGTAAAATATCTAAAATTATTATTATCATATGCTGATTATAGCTATCATTATTATATTAAAATCAGCTCTCGTCTTACGACGACATAAGTTCTGGAAAGGACGAACTTGGAGGATTATTCATAATTTATGTTAAGAAACGAAACAAAAGCTGCAAAAGCTGTCGCATAATTTTATTCTACGGACCGTCGAAGTTTGGACGTCTCGATAATTTCCTCTCTTGCGGATTTCCAAGTGGTTTCAACTTCCTCAGCTCTTTAGATATCCATAGAAACTATGTGTCGCTGATATCGGAATAAAGTATTGACACTGACTGTCTTCAAAATTCGGCAAGTAGCAAAAAATAATTCATAAATATTATATCGCTCTGAGCCATTTTATATTCTAAATGATTTTATTAAGCTACTTTAGCAACATTAGAAAATTTAATGAATAATCAAAATATTATTGTATGAATTTCAAATCGTGTGAATCTCTTCTAAGATCCGAATATTCAAATAACAGAAAGGACAGGTGTATTTTGGTTTAACTAGAATTAAATCGCATCATTTTGAGGTTTTCGATTAAACCGAATTCTCGATGTATTTGATTCTGTCTTGCGCTTTGTGGTTACGCCATTTCATATCAATAAATCATTACCATAGCAAACTCATACAATAGAGCATCCAAGCTTTCCGAAAATAACTAATAACAATAGCTCATAATATATAGATTTGGTTATTAAAAATTTACCCAAGTCAAAAGATCAAGTGAATTTTTACTTTTTTAGTAAAACTAAAAAAAATATAGAGCAAGCCTGGGCAAAAAGCGAACGCTCTGGGCAAAGCGAATATTTTTTATTTTTGCTTATCTATCTGAGATAATACTATGAATCTCTAACTGTTGAAGGAATGACCGATCGGTGCCATGAAAATGTAAAACAACATATGATGATTGCGCTCGTTCGTGTTTGACAGAGAAATAAAAGAAATTGTGTATTTTCTTACGATTTTCGCTAAGGTACGTACCTTAATTATTAGCAGTAATTGTTTCTTAATCGGTGTAAATAATTTTTTATAAAAATTCTATCTTTTAATGTGTATTCGAGGTTAAAATTTTTCACTTGTTGCTCTTAAACTTATTTTAAATTCACGCCAAGTAGGTTCTTTGGGCAAAGTGAATGGGGGCAAAGCGAATGGCCTATCCTTTTTACCCGGTATGTGATTGCACTGAAAATACCGGGAAGATGGAGGAAACAGACGATCTTTTGAGCGAACGAAAGGCATTGTTTACATCTCACTTTTTTTTCCGCAACGCAATATGATGCGTGTTCTGAAGAATACACCGACTCACCGTTCGAAGACTGGATCCAATACAGTCAGTACACCAATGGGTTTATGAAGACTGCACTACGTATAGAGGATTCGGCAGCTACTTTCGTGATAACTGTCGACACTGATTTTGATTTTTTTAATTCCATCCTCATTACTCGAGTGACCCATCCACTTTGCTCAAGGAAGCAAAGCGGTTGGTTTCTCTTTTTTTACGTTTTGACTAAAAAACATTTAAATGTTCAAGTTTTTAAATTTTATTTTATTTTATTTCTCTCAAAGTTGATTTTTTATTAATAAAATTATAAGAATAAAAAAGGTTTTCGATCTTAATTTTAATTGTGTCATTTTTCTTCCCAAATCTTAACACATCTGCTTTACCCGGACTTCCCCTATTATTTAATGAAAAAAATTAGTTTTACATTGTTTATAACACCAATAATCTTACACAATCATATGATTTTATATCGTTTTGATATGTTATAGATTCCACGAATAAACTCATGCGTATAAAATTGATCTCGCTCGGAACTTTCCGCACGCATGCGCTCGAATAATTTGCACTAATTAGGAAAATTGACGAGCGGAAGACCTTAAATTCTTGGCAAGGATGCAAGTAAACAATTATATGCGTTTACTTTGAACTACTCACTGCAAGACGCGAGCAAATGTGAAGCGAGGTGAAAGTTATACAAATGTTTACTCTGTAGTGAACCGCACAAGTGAGAATGAAGAAGATAGAAATTGAAAGCAGGACAGAAGAGAGAGAAGCTTGTGCAAAGGAATTTAAGCGATACCATTCATAAAAGAGAACAGGAAAACTTCAAATGATGACGGTAAGATTTAAAGAATCTAAAATATGATACACTTAAATAATACTTCAATGCATTACATATTAGCAGTGAGAAATGTAGAATTAGTGTATTTATTTTCGAAATCTCAATATAATAAAGATCTAGCCTTTCAGTTTAAAAATTTAGTATTCCTGTGACAACGGTTTATTTAACTCGATTTATAAATAATTACTGTTTCTCTAATAATTCGTAATATGTGATTATAGATTTACATATTCATAATCTGTATAATTTATAATTACAAAATTACATATTA